GAAATGTATGGAAAGATTAAATAAATATACACATTCAAATTTACAGAAAATTCTTTTAATCAGTCTTCCATGATGACGCTCTGGCAACTCTGACCCTATGATATGCATACAAAATCATATTTTATGTGGAACTAAAGCAGAACTATACTCCCCTCCACTCCAGCGCTGCATTGTCCTGGACATCCCTCACTGGCTAATGACATCTTTGGCCATTTTTTTTTCTGGGTTCTGATCTTCATCCATTTTGATTGGGTTGAGATGACGTTACTCCTGTGCACGCACAGGATTTAATTTATCTTGACAGATGAAGAAATTAGCCACGGAGCTCAGTGTGCACAGCTCAGCATGCAGTGCAGACAGACAGGTAGGAAATTGTGTTGCCAAAGAGACAGAATGTCTTTTCAGCATTAAAAAAAGCTTGCCTGTTTTCCATTTTTTTTTCTAATTAAAGTTCCACTTTAAAGCTGATCTTCAGGCAGATATAAAAGACACACATGCAGCTCTGTAGTAATCATAACATCATGAAATGTATTTTTTAATGCCAGCAGTGTGAGTACCTGAATTTAACCTGGTATCAGAATGCTGTTAGGAAGGGAAATGAGAGTGACAAAGAGATGGTCTCATCAGGGTGCTGTTTCTTTCGCTGTCCAGTCACCCAGGTAGGTCCAGGCCAAGTTATGCCCAAAAGAAGTGGTCTGACTGATGCTGGCCATCAGGCTGAGGACATCTAGTGGCAGAAAAAGATAGAAAAGAGAAAGGGCCTCGTGCGCGCCCCCTACCTGTTTACAAAACACACGTTTTAAAATGTGGTTTTGCCCAGCCGTGCCGCCCTGCCGCCGTATTTATACAGTGGCTGGGCGCATGTGGTTAAGTTAAACTGTGCTTTGCCCATGCAAGATAGAGCACCAAGTTTACTTAACTGTTGCTGCCTCTATCCCTTTCCTTTCACTCCCCTGGCACTCCTTTTAACCCATAGCACAAAGAGGTGAAGCTCTGTAGAAGTACAAACTGGCTCTGATCAGAACATACACTATATTGCCAAAGTATTGAAATGCCCCTTCAAATCATTGGATTCAGGTGTATAAAGGCAAGCACCTAGGCATGCATTCTGCTTCTACAAACATTTGTGAAAGAATGGGTCGCTCTCAGGAGCTCACTGAATTCAAGCGTGGTACTGTGATAGGCTACCACCTGTGTAATAAGTCCATCTGTGAAATTTCCTTGCTACTACATATTCCACAGTCGATGGTTAGTGGTATTATAACAAAGTGGAAGTGACTAGGAACAACAGCAACTCAGCTACAAAATAGTAGGCCATGTAAAATGACAGAGCGGTGTCAGCACTTGCTGAAGCGCACAGTGAACAGAAGTCACCAATTGTCAGCAGAGTCAATAGCTAAAGACCTCCAAACGTCGTGTGGCCTTCAGATTACCACAACAGTGCGTAGAGAACTTCATGAAATGGGTTTCCATGGCTGAGCAGCTACATCCAAGCCTTTGCAATGCAAAGCGTCAGATGTAGTAGTGTAAAGCACGCCGCCACTGGACTCTAGAACAGTGGAGATGTGTTCTCTGGAGTGACGAATCACGCTTCTCTGTCTAGCAATCCAATGGACGTATAAAATAGATAAGTGCAGTGCTAAATAACTTGAAATTATAATGATTGTTTGTCCAATAATAAAAAGGAGCGATAAAATTAAATTATCAATACAGTAAATAGATGAATAAATGACCAAGATTTTATAAAATAACGGTGACAGTCTGTTCAGATATAAAGGTGCAGAATCTCAGTAAAATCCAGTAGTGGTGCTCCGAATAGTGTGGTAAAATTATGCACTCACCAGATGCGTAATGTAAATATGCATTATATGAACCAGTAGAGGTCTCCTTTAAGGATATGGATCCGGTCTGGGACAGAGATAATCCTCCTTATAGGTGAGTGGTGTTGTCTGGCGCGCACAGGGAAGCATAAGGATCCAGCTGACCAGAGCTCCCTTTAAGGGATGGATGTCTGCAGATGCCTGTATACAGGAACTCCCTTCTCTGGAATCTTTAGATGGCTGGATCAGGCAGACTATGGATAAATAGCTCTTCAAGGGAGAGTATAAAGAGTGCCCATAGTATAGTATTTAAAGGTATAATTTATTATAGATGAATTTGCAAATTCCATAAATAAGTAGAATTAAGCAGGGTTAAAGAAAAGCAGCATCAGGTAATGGACTAACCATCCAGTAAGCATGATGGCCGCCTGGTCTCCACGTGGCTACGGCGGCGTGACGTCACGGCGTCTTGGCCCCTCCTAACATGTTTCGTGAGCACGCACTTCTTCAGAGGCGGTAACCAATGGTGCCATAACGTCAGTCCATTGAATTTATAGGCAAGATGGCGCGTGCGCATTACATCGACGCCATCTTGCCATAGCTCAAAACATAGTAGATATCCGCGCACATGCGCGGCACCATTTTGCCATGGATTTTAGAAGATAATCATATGAACCGGAGGAACATGTTAATAAGTCAGGTGTCTGTAAATTAAGTAATTACTACGAGGCAGCAAGTGATTGATGCCCCAACGGAAAGGGGGTTGGCAAAAACACTACGACTGCCAGGGAACTAATACATACAAATATGGAAAATATAAAAAATATATATATATAAAAAAGGGGGTCAGTGCATGTATAAACTGATAATGCCCTAAAACAGACCTCTCAATACCAAAGAATGAAGCTTGGATCAGAGGAGAAAATACATAATTATAATTCAGTATTAGTAATGGTATTATAAAAATTGAAATTAATTAATAGTGATATACTATAAATTATATATATATCTATGTATTTTATTAAAACACCTGTAAAAAAAACAAGAATAAAAAATTGAAAAATAGTAATCCAGAATAAAAGTGAAAAAGTGGACTTAAAAAACCCATGGCAAAAAGAGCGAATGTAAAAATGAATGTTATGAGTAACAAACCAATAAAATACGAATAAAAAAAAATCAATCGCAAAACAATATACAAAATCTCAAATGTTATAAAACAACCAGATAAATGAAAAATATAAGTATAAAATATACAAAAGGTGATCTAAAATTTATAAAAAGGAAAAGGTATTATAAAACTATTATTATTATTATTATACATGATTTATAGAGCGCCAACAGTTTGCACAGCGCTTTACAATATAACAGGAGACAGTTCACTAACAATACAGTTCAATACAAGAGGGATAGGAGGGCCCTGCTCCTTGGAGCTTACAATCTAGGAGGGAGGAGCTAGTGGTACAAAAAGGTAGTAACTGTGGGGGATGGACTGGTTGGAAGAGTAGAAGATTCCATTATTAGCTGAGGGGAGGATAGGCTTCTCTGAACAGATAGGTTTTCAGAGATCGCCTAAAAGTGAGCAGAGTAGGCAATAGTCTGATAAACTGGGGTAGAGAGTTCCAGAGGATGGGGGAAGCTCTGGAGAAGTCCTGGTGATGAGCATGGGAGGAGGAGACAAGGGAGCTAGAGAGCAGGAGGTCATGCGAGGAGCGGAGAGAACAGTTTGGGTGGTATTTGGAGACAAGATCGGTGATGTAATTTGGGGCAGAGTTATAAATGGCTTTATACGTTATTGTTAATGTTTTGAATTTTATCCGTTGGGCAACGGGAAGCCAGTGGAGGGATTGGCAGAGAGGGATGGCAGATACAGAATGGTTAGTAAGGTGGATGTGTCTGGCAGCAGCATTCATGTTAGACTGAAGAGGGGATAGCCTGCGATGAGGTAGGCCAATGAGGAGGGAGTTACAATATGTCAAGGCGAGATATAACAAGGGAGTGAATAAGTTGCTTAGTGGTTTCCGAGGTTAAGAATGGCCGTATCTTGGAGATGTTGAGGACAGGGGTGTATTTGCCGCGAGGCACGTTTCAGGGGGGCGGCACGGCGGCAGTGCAGCCGCTCCCCCTTTCCCACGGAAGCGAGACTTCCGTGAGAAAGGGACAGGGCCGCCATGGCTGAGGGTAAAGCAAGGAGGTTCACCCGGGCCAAGGGACCGGCTGCAGAGGAGAGCAGAGTGGTGGGCAGATTAGCGTTGAGCGCTCTGAGAGCATGAGGGGGCGGGGCCCGCTGTCAGTGTGCTGGGATGTGCCAGCAAAGGAGGAAGCAGAAGAGGACGAGGTCAGGGTGGAGGAGCCTGTCCACTCTTTTGCTGCTGGAGATCCTGGGGGAGAAGGGACACAGGCAGCCGTCCTGGAGTGATGCTGACACCATCTGGAGGAGCCGCTGCTAGACAGGTAAGTACTTGGAGGACTGGTGTTTCCCCACTCCTGTCTCACTGTCCCCCGATACACTGCCCCCCCCTTTTCCACTTCCCCCCTCCTGTCCCCCACATTGTCCCACTACCCCTCACCTGTCCCTCTGCACTCCTCCTGTCCCATGCCCCCTGTCACGCTGCCCCTCACCTATCCCTCTGCGCTCCTCCTGTCCCTCTGTTCTCCTTCACCTGTCCCACTGTGCTCCTCCTGTCCCACTGCCCCTCACCTGTCGCACTGCACTCCTCCTGTCCCACTGCCCCTCACCTGTCCCACTGCCCCTCACCTGTCCCACTGCCCCCCTATCACGCTGCCCCCCATCTGTCCCTCTATGCTCTTCCTGTCCCACTGCCCCTCACCTGTCCCTCTGTGCTGCTCCTGTCCCACTGCCCCTCACCTGTCCCTCTGTGCTCATCCTGTCCCACTGCCCCGATCCTTTCCCTTTGCGCTGCTCCTGTCCCACTGCCCCAATCCTGTCCCATGTCCCCTGTCACGCTGCACTATACCAATGATGGGGGATTTTTCCTCCCCCTGACACCAATGATGGGGGATTTTTCCTCCCCCTGACACCAATGATGGGGCACGATTTCTCCCACTGACACTCATGATGGGGCACTTCCTCCCACTGATACCAATACACTATTCCTCCCCCTGATGATGGGGCACCATTCCTTCCCCTGACACGAATGATGGGGCACCATTCCTCCCCCTGACACGAATGATGGGGCACCATTCCTCCCCCTGACACGAATGATGGGGCACCATTCCTCCCACTGACACCAATGATGGGGCACCATTCCTCCCACTGACACCAATGATGGGGCACCATTCCTCCCACTGACACCAATGATGGGGCACCATTCCTCCCACTGACACCAATGATGGGGCACGATTATTCCCACTGACACTAATGATGGAGTACTATTACTCCCACTAATACCAATGATGGGGTGCTATTCCTCCCACACTGACACTAATGATGGGGCACCATCATTGGTGTCAGTGGGAGGAATAGTGCCTTATCATTGGTGTCAGTGTGAGAAATAGTGCCCCATCAGTGGTGTCAGTGGGATGAATAGTGTCCCATCATTAGTGTCAGTGGGAGGAATCGTGCCCCATCATTGGTGTCAGTGGGAGGAATAGAGCCCATCGTTGTCAGTGGGCGGAGCTCTAATAGGAAGAGGTAGAGCCTAAAGAGGAAGGGGTGGAGTTTGCAAATGAAAGGGTGGGGCAAATTTAGATATGGGGGGGGGGGGTTGCCCAATTTTAGTCTTGCCTAAGGCAGCACAAAACCAAAATACACCACTGGTTGCGGAGGTGAAGTCTACAAAATTTGGACAGCGATTGGATCTGGGACTGAAAGGACAGATGGGAGTCCAGGATTACACCTAGTACCCTGGCATGAGGGGAGGGACTGATGATTGTGCTATTGATATGGATGGAGAAGTCAGGGGAGGGGGCACAGGCTGGAGGGAATAGTATGAGTTCAGTTTTGGAAAGATTGAGTTTGAGGAAGTGGAGTGACATCCATGCCGATATGTCACTTAGTAGGTTAGTAATGCGAGAGGAGACTGAAGGGGTGAGGTGAGGGGTAGAAAGATAGATTTGTGTGTCATCAGCATAGAGATGGTACTTAAAGCCATGGGAGTTTATCAAGTGACCAAGGGAGGAGGTGTAGATGGAGAAGAGAAGAGGTCCAAGGACAGAACCTTGAGGGAACCCTACAGAAAGAGGGAGTGAAGAGGAGGAGGCAGAGTTATAAGTAACGCTGAAGGAGCGCTGGAGGATAGGTAGGAGGAACCAGGAGAGTCTCGGAGGCCAAGAGAGTGGAGTTTTTTGAGGAGGAGGGGATGGTCAACCGTATCAAAAGCCGCAGAGAGGTAAAGTAGTAAGAGTACGGAGTAGTGGTCATTGGTTTTAGCAGTTAGTAGATCATTAGTGAGTTTTAGTAGGGCAGTTTCAGTGGAGTGTAGTGGGCGAAAACCAGACTGTAACGGTCAAGAAGGTTGTTGTCAGTGAGGTAGGAGCCCAGGCGATTGTAGACTAAGCGTTCTAGGAGTTTAGAGGTAAATGGCAGTAAGGAGATGGGTCTTAAGTTGTTCAGGTTAGTGGGGTCCAGGGAGGGCTTTTTAAGTATGGGAGTGATATGTGCATGCTTTAGAGGGGAGGGGAAGGTGCCAGTAGAGAGGGAGAGATTGAAGAGGTGAATGAGGGAGCATAGGATGCAAGAAGAGGGGGACCGTAGTAGTTGTGAGGGCACAGGATCCAGGGGGCAGGTAGTGAGACGGGCTTCTGAGAAAACCTTAGTTGACCTCTTCGGTAGTAGCAAGGTCAAAAGAGGAAAGTGTTGAGGGAGGTTTAGTGTAAGGTATGCTAAGTAGGATGGATGTCTGTGCAGTGGCGATGCCCCAACGAATTGCGTCAGTCTTGTTTTTGAAATGATTTGTAATCTCGTGAGCAGTGAGTGAGGTACTGGGTGGAGGTGGAGAAAGTAGAGAGTTAAAAGTAGAGAAGAGACAACGAGGACTGGATGACAAGGTATTGATAAGAGTGACAAAGTAGGCTTGTTTGGCAGCATGGAGGGAGGAATTCTATGTTAAGAAAGCAGATTTATATAGGGTGAATGCTTGTTGAGATTTGGTTTTACGCCACAATCGCTACAGCGCACGACTATGTCGTTTAAGATTTCTGGGGTCGTCAGTCTGCCACGGTTGTAATGTTCGGGGCCTGATGCTTCGTGTTGTTAGAGGAGCAAGTGAGTCTAATGTGGATGAAAGAGAACTGTTGTAGACAGTAGTGGCCAGGTCAGGGCAGGACAGGGGAGATTCTGTCATAGAGTTGGTCAGTTGCAGAGTGGAAAGGAGCAGGTTTCAAGTTGTGAAGGTTTCTGCGGGTAATTGTTTGCTGCTTGGAGGGATAGGTGTTTGAAGACAAGGACACTGTGAAGGTGATGAGATTGTGATCAGAGAGAGGAAAAGGGGTGTTTGTGAGGTTGCAGGGAGTGTAAAGATAGGAGAAACAAACAAGGTCTAATGTATTCCCAAAAGAGTGAGTGGAGGACTGTATGCATTGTGCTAATGCAAAAAATGAGGTTATGTTGAAAAGTTGGGATGTAGCCGGGTTGTTGACATTAATACGGATGTTAAAATCTCAGAGAATGATAGTGGGTAGTTCAGAGGAGAGAAAGTAGGGTAGCCAGGCAGAGAAATCATCAACTAGAAATCATAAAACTAGAGGTTAAAATCACTATCAACTATTGTCGATAAAACTAAAATCTATTTCCACATTATGTCCTGCTGGGTGTAGTGTACCTAATTTGTAAATGAGTCTGGTCTCCAATTGGGAGACCACTCTAGTTTTATGGGTACCCCTCCAATGTGGTGTTATCATGTCAATACCAGCAAATCTCAGGGTAGATGGATCTCTATTATGAAAATGTATATTATATAGGGCGTGCTTGTTGGAGCCCAACCTCTGTAGCTGTAAGATAAAGGTGCCAGATGGATATCAGGGATGGATGGATGGATGGAAGCAGTAACACTGAGGCAGCTCTTCTTAGAGTGGAAGCAAGGCTCTAATGCAGTAACAAGAAAAAGAGAGGAAGGTGCCTCTAAGTGCAGTATTAACAATTTATTAGTAGACAATGGAAAATTTGCACTTACAAGATAAACGGTTAAAAAGACTCATCATGTGGTAATTGGATCCAGGTGGGACATCCAGCCGTCCAGCAGCAAGCTATGCCTATAGCAGTGATGGCGAACCCGTGGCACGCGTGCCACAGCTGGCACGCCGAGCCTTATCTGTGGGCACGCCAGGAGAATACCGTATTTTTCGCTCCATAAGACGCACTTTTTTTCCCCCAAAAAAGGGGGGAAAATGTCAGTGCGTCTTATGGAGCGAATATAGAGCGGCCGGTCCGGTATTTCCACCGCCGCCGTGTCAGAATACCGGGCCAGCCGCTCAGCTCTGCAGTGGGACCGTACCTGTCCCTCTATCCAGCGGCGCGCTGTCTTCCCGGCTTCTGTAGTGTGCGTGACAGCCGGGTCCCAAGTGCGCATGCGCAAGAAGCAGTGCTCTTTGTGAATGGTAAGGCGGTACCTGGGACACATGACAGATCCCAGAAGCCGCCGGACCAATCACAAAGCTCAGCGCTTCTCGCGCATGCGCACTGGGCATCCGGCTGTCCGACGAGCACCCACACTACAGAAGCCGGGAAGACAGCGCGCGGCTGGATAAAGGAACAGGTAAGATAAAAAAAAAAACTCTGCGGGAGTAAGAGCGGGTACCTGTCAAATTCAGGTACCCGCTCCCCCTCCCTCCCCAAAGGTCAGCAGTCATCTGTACTGTCCGCAGTCTCTGGTCATCCCTGTGCTTTCCGCAGTCTCTGGTCATCTCCTGTACTGTGTCTGCAGTCTCTGGTCATCTCCTGTACTGTGTCCGCAGTCTCTGGTCATCTCCTGTACTGTGTCCGCAGTCTCTGGTCATCTCCTGTACTGTGTCCGCAGTCTCTGGTCATCTCCTGTACTGTGTCCGCAGTCTCTGGTCATCTCCTGTACTGTGTCCGCAGTCTCTGGTCATCTCCTGTACTGTGTCCGCAGTCTCTGGTCATCTCCTGTACTGTGTCCGCAGTCTCTGGTCATCTCCTGTACTGTGTCCGCAGTCTCTGGTCATCTCCTGTACTGTGTCCGCAGTCTCTGGTCATCTCCTGTACTGTGTCCGCAGTCTCTGGTCATCTCCTGTACTGTGTCCGCAGTCTCTGGTCATCTCCTGTACTGTGTCCGCAGTCTCTGGTCATCTCCTGTACTGTGTCCGCAGTCTCTGGTCATCTCCTGTACTGTGTCCGCAGTCTCTGGTCATCTCCTGTACTGTGTCCGCAGTCTCTGGTCATCTCCTGTACTGTGTCCGCAGTCTCTGGTCATCTCCTGTACTGTGTCCGCAGTCTCTGGTCATCCCTGTACTGTGTCCGCAGTCTCTGGTCATCCCTGTACTGTGTCCGCAGTCTCTGGTCATCCCTGTACTGTTAATTAGTTTGCACTACTGTACGAGTTGTTTTTTTCTAAACCAAAAGCTCGATATTCAGGTTTCATTGCAGTGTTGGCACTTTGAAAGAAATAAGTTGGTTTTGGCGGGTTGCAGTTTGGGCACTCGGGCTCAAAAAGGTTCGCCATCACTGGCCTATAGGATCAGGAAGTAGAGTCCAGGATGTGCCTGTGCATCAAAAATGAAGCTTGGAGAGCAGAGTCAGATGTAGCAGGTGAAAGGGGCGGTAATGCATTTCGGAGCATGCTCAATAGGCTCCTTATTCAGACCTACTGAGATTCTGCACCTTTATATCTGCACAGACTGTCACCTTTATTTTATAAAATCTTGGTCATTTATTCATCTATTTATTCTATTGATAATTTAATTTTATCGCTCCTTTTTATTATTGGACAAACGATCATTATAATTTCAAGTTATTAAGCGCTGCACTTATCCATTTTATGCTTTGACAAGGTTTTTATATTGGTTGCCTTGAGTGCTTTAGCTGCTTACTAGAGAGCGCTCACTTTTTTACTGTATTTTAATCCAATGGACATGTCTAGGTTTGGCAGTTGCCAGGAGAATGGTACTTGCCTGACTACATTGTGCCAAGTGTAAAGTTTGGTGGAGATGGGATTATGGTGTGGGGTTGATTTTCAGGGGTTGGGCTTGGCCCCTTAGTTCCAGTGAAGGAAACTCTTAAGGTGTCAGCATATCAAGACATTTTGGATATTTTCATGCTCCCAGCCTTGTGGGAACAGTTTGGGGATGGCCCATTCCTGTTCCAACATAACTGCACACCAATGCACAAAGCAAGGTCCATAAAGACATGGATGAGCGAGCTTGAGGTGGAGAAACTTGACTGGCCTGACCTCAACCCGATAAAACACCTTTGGGATGAATTAAGAGTGGAGACTGTAAGCCAGGCCTTCTCGTCCGACATCAGTGCCTGACCTCACAAATGCGCTTCTGGAAGAATAGTCAAACATTCACATAGACACACTACTAGACCTTGTGTATTTACTTCCCTATTTGTGAATAAACCCTATTTGTAGGAGTCAGACGTCCTTCTTGGAATTAACACATTCCAGAGCACATTTTACATTATTTTACATTGAGAATACACCATCCAAGCTTTAGAAGGT